GGAAATGAGTGTATTGGAACTTGGAAGCAAGAACCATACTTACTCTTCCCCTTTTCATATCACTAAATCTTTTATTTTCTTTTTCTTTTCCTCCTCTATTTTTTGGGTTTGCTTGTTTACTCTATAATGACTACAGTATAAAGCTCTGGAGGATCCAAACTCTTCAAATTTTGGAAATTTCTGTGCACTTAAGTCCAGACCAATATATGTATAACTCCTACATCTCAATGTATTGTCACAAATATAAATATATATATATATATTATATAGTCAGTTTTAAACCATATTGTCGACGTAAAATTTTGAATGAACTATGTTAATATGAGATAAATATATGATCGTCTTTCATTGATTTAATTTCAGTTAAAGGCCTAGGACACTTCTAACTTGTAATGCTGGACATAAAAATTAAATATGAAAATACTTTTGAATTCTTTTCTCTGTGTACCACAACAACAACAATAAGTCTCATTTCATTAGGTGGGATTGGCTACATAAATCACATAATGCCATTGTACTCTATTAACAATTAAATCCTTAGTTATGTTGTTGACTAAGAGGTCTTGTTCAATGATTTCTTAAAGCGTTTTTCTCGGTCTTCCTTTATCTTTTTTTTTATGGGATTCTGTATTGTCTAATCTACTATCTTTACCGAGGCCTCCAATAGTCTTCTCTGCACATATCCAAACTACCTCGAGCGATGTTCAATTATTTTTTTTTCAATAGGTGCCACACTGACTCTTGCTCTGATATTTTCGTTTTCGATCTTATTTTTGCTTGTATGACCACACATTCATCTCAATATCCTCATTTTTGCTATCCCAATTTTATGCTATTGTTTTCTTTTTATTGCCCAACATTCACTATCGTACAACATACTTGATCTTATAGCAATCTGATAAAATTTTTCCTTGAACTCCTCAGGTACCTTCTTATCACAAATAACTTTGGTAGTTTTCCTCCACTTTAACCAACCAACTTGTATTCTATGAGAAACATCTCCATCAATTTCACTATCCTCATGTATAATAGATTCTAGATATTTAAACTTTGATACTTAAAGAATGATTGTTTTACCACAAAAACAAATTATGGTTGTTTTTGTGTGCGTTTGGAAGCAACAAAAAGAAATGCATTCTTATGTACCGAGACAAAATCTTCCTCACATATTTATGCTTATATTTATGTTATATGGTGTAAAATCATTTAAAACAAAACTAATCCAATTAGTCTTTTTAGTCTTTTCCCCCATCTGCAAGTCCTTAAGAAGAGGCGTTTTTTCCTCCAAAGGCCAAAAAAACAAGAAGGCTGGAAATTAAACAGTATACGTAGAATTTTTCAAAAGCAAACAATCATGAAGTTTGAAAAATTTTCCGAGGAAATCCTTAACCACAGGAAATCGGGTATGATGAGTGATTAAGTCCCCTCTCAGGGTTAATTATGGTGCTCGCAGCATTTATATATATATATATATATATATATAAATAGAGAGAGAGAGAGTATTCATGAAGACACTTTTGTCATAATTGATTTGAGAGAGAGATATTTTAGTGATGAAAATAGGTCTACGTCAAGCAGCTACATAACTTTTTTGACCTGCAACTTACATACACATCTTCCATTCAATTCAAGCAAGCTGCCAATCAGACGAGTTTTATAATCCTCAGAATTCAGAATTTTCGGCTCTGTAATTTCAAGGCATTTTCTCATACGATTAATCAACCAACATTTTATAATTTTTAAATAACCGATCGTCACATGATGATGTACTCTATGAATCACACTCTCTGTCATAAATAGAAGAGTTAATTTAAATTTATGGGCTTCCCAAGATTTTAGTCCACTAATTTGTGTAACTTATAAATTAATATATGATTTAACGTTACAAAAAGGTACTTTAGTTTGGTGAAAAAAAGGAGAGTATTTGAGTGAAATCATGTCAATTGAATTATACTACTTCTGATTCTTAATATAAGACCTGGTTTGATTTTTATTTTGATCATAAATATAAAAATCCCAATTCACTCTATCTCTAGTATTTATGTATTTTGTTTAAGGTAGTTCTTCTAATAATAATAGTTTTAATTAACATACTTGATTAGTAAGGGTATTTTAGGAAAAACAACACATATTTATTACAAATAACTAAATTAACTTATTTTCTTAATCTTTTCAAATTAGTCAATTAGCTCTTATAATTAGGACCGGATGTAGTAATTAAGTAATGTATTTAATATTTTTAGTTTATTCAAAATAGTAAAATTCATAATTAAGAGATCATGATATATACATATGCATCCACTGTATAGTTCCCAGATTCTTTTTTGTGACATGATAAGAGTATACTAACTGACATACTAATCGAGATTAAATTTTAATTCGTTCCAACAGTTCTGAGAGAATTATTCTCCTAGCACTAAAACCTGCGTTATCCACTCATCCCTCAAAGTTTCAAAATCTTTAACTTTAATTAGCATAATTGAATCGAAAAACATGTATATATATATTTTTTCAATGCACAAACACCCTTTTCACTATGACTGGGGGGGGGATCATATCTAAGGATTCGGATATTAAAAATCATATCTAAGGTATATTTTAATATGTGTGTGTGTGTGTTTTGAACATTTAGATTCTTAAATATAAATTTGGCCTAATAATATCTTTTAGGTAGCACTTTATCTTGTTGTTATGGGTAGCTACTTTTTATTGGTTAATCTTTTTTCAAAATTAATAGTTGAAAGGTAATTATACGTTCAATCATGGAAAGCAGAATTGAAATGTGGAATGTGAATAGTGGGAGGCTTTTTGAAATTGAAGGTGCTAGCTAGCCGCTTGCTTCCTGATAGCTACACTTTGCCCACCAGCGTCAAACGAATAATATGCCCATACTTCAATCAATTCATATTTCAAGTGGAACATCCCCGCAAATTAAAAAAAAAAAAAGATTCCAAATTTCAAATCATAATTAAAGAGTAAATAAATATATATCGATGAAATTTATTGCAGGATTAATAGTCATAGTTTCCATTGGACTTTTTTAATTATAGATCCCCTGAAAATGGTCATCCTGATTGCAATTTGTATTCTCACTTGACACTAGCTCGTTTATTTTTCCTTTTATCTCCCATGAAGGGAATAATTTCACTTTTATTTACTATTCTACCTATTCTAAATATAGAAATTAGATAAGAGATTTATTTTAATTTTAAATATAAAACCTTAATTTGTTTTGTCTTTCAAATTTATAATGTTTTATTTAAAATATTCATATTAATCGCACGTAATAAGAGGCTTCCAATTAAAAGATAGTTTCAATATATATGATTAAGAAGAGTAGTTTAGAAAAACTATTATATATTTGTTATAAATAATTAACTTAACTAATTTTTTTAATATCCATAAATTAACCGTCTAGTTTTTATATTAAGAACCGATAGTAATATAAATTAGGAATTTGGATCTCCACTTAAACTCCCTCCAGCTCATCAATTGAAACTCAATCGAGGGATGTTAACCATTAGTTTATTTTTCAAGAAAATAATAATTTTGTAACTCCCGTTTTAATACCATTAGATGATGAAATGATGATTAATATTTTTTAAGTTGAATTAAAAGGTCTCAGTTATTAAGGGGTCTAAATCCTACTATTAAATAGTCACTCCAGATAATATGTTAACAACCAAAAAGGGAAAAAAAAAGGGATTCCATGTATTGAAAGCAATAGCACTCTGTATTCTTCTCCTTCTTCTTTTTTATTTTTAACAACAAAGCACTCTGCTTTACATATATTTTACTTGATATTCAATTATTCAATGTCACACTTCTCAGTTCTGATGCTCTTGTTTTAGGATATAGATCCTTCAATTAACCCTAAACTGGAGAATACTCCTCCAATTCTTAATATAAGACCTATTTAATTAATTTGATTAGATTAAGAAAGTTAGGTAAGTTAGTTTATTGTAAGAAATATGACATGTTTTTTTTCTAAAACATCATAATTAACTTCTTTAATATCTTTCCTCCCTCTTCTTTTATTTTTTTTGGATAAGCCCTCTCTCTTCTACTTGTTTATGATTGAGAGAGTATCCTAGGAATAATTTAGAAATAAATTGATAAATATAAGAAGTAAATCTTATATTTACTATCAAAATTAAATTAATAATTAGGTTCTATATTAAGGATCGGATAAGTATAAAATAAACCATCAAATCATATGATCAAATGGTGGTGAAATGGGAACCTTTATTTTATCCCAAAAAAAAAAATACTGCTAGTCCTTACTGTTTGATCCAATTAAAGAAATCTAAATTCCCTTCTCGTCAAAATCTTCAACTCCCTTACAAAGCTACAAATTTATAAATAAAGTTTGAAATTCAAAGATATTTGTTTTCCTCCTCCTTTATATTTGTCTTTTAATTCAAAAGCGCACATAATTTTAATTTGAAAGAATCTTGCCTTTCCCGTTCTCTCTCTTTATTACACAGTTCATATAAGCATACAAATTTTCTTTCTCTTTCTCTTCAATTTCCACATAAGCAAACGCCAGCTCTGCGCAGTCTCTCTCAATTCGAAATTCAGACAAAAACGTGCCCTTGCTCGGTGAAATTACAAATAAGGACCATACAACAGGATTAATTACGACTAAAAATTAGTGTGAATTATTGATAATTTATGGTTGAATTTGACATTGACATTTATGAATTTCTTTCTAAGAAGACTGATGACACTTTTTTTTTTCCCCAAAAGAAAAGGATTATTGCTAATAGGTCTGTAGTCTATAATAACATGAAAACTTGCAGATTTAATACAATTACAATTTTAGGCTGTTAGTACTTGTATTTTAATTCAATTCAAAATAATCTCTCTAATTTAAAAAAGGAACGGGTGATTAAAGGAGGGGTAATTTAGAAATTTAAGGTTGGCATTTATAACTAATTTAATTACAGTCTCTATCTGTAATTTGTCTGTCCTCGGCGCCTCACTCTCTCTCCTCCTCTTCCTCTCTCTCCACTGCCCTTTGGCTTTTCCCTAGATATAACTATAAGCTCCACCACAATAGTATCTTCTTCCTTTCCCTTTTTCGCCCCCGTAACCTTCTCCAATTCCTCCAAATCCTCACACCCAGATTCTAAATCATCATCATCATCATCATCATCGGCCATCTTTAGTTTGTTTCCCCTTTACTTTAAACTGCGTATCTTCAGTCCAAAACAAAAAAAACACTGCTTGTCCTGTGTAGCATCAGGGTCATTGCTTTATTCGATCCAGCTATGATGGAGCCGCCGTCGGAGGATGCTGGGATAGCATTGGAAACGGCGGAGAAGATTATACTCCGTTGGGACTCCACGGCGTCCGAAGAGGCCCGCGAAAAAATGATCTTTGAAGGCGACCGTCAGGAGGTTGATCGCTATTTGCAGGCTGTAGATGAAATCCAACGCTCCATGTCTTCTGCTTCCATCTCCGATACTGAGCAAGATAAAGTCAACTCTGCTATTCAGATCGCCATGGCTCGTCTCGAAGACGAATTCCGTAACATTCTGATTTCTCACACCAACCCCCTCGAGACCGATTCGTTGACCGATCCAAGCTCTTCGGTTCACTCTGGGTCTTCGGTTACTGAAGGAGCTGAGCTAGGCGACGATACTAATGTTGAAGAAGAAGATGATGCTTCTTCGATTATTAAAGCTGAACAGCTTCTTCGCTACAACAGCGATGCTTCCAGCGCCGCTAATAGTAGCTATCGATCCACCAGTAGTATTCGCGAGATCGATCTGATACCTTCTGATGCCATTTACGACCTTCGAAGCATCGCTGAGAGGATGATCTCTTCTGGATATCTGCGTGAGTGCATCCAGGTTTATGGTAGTGTGAGGAAATCAGCAGTTGATGCGAACTTCCGGAGACTCGGGATTGAGAAGCTGAGCATCGGTGATATTCAGAGGTTGGAGTGGGAACAGCTTGAGTCTAAGATCCGACGGTGGATAAGGGCAGCTAAGGTTTGTATTAGGACATTGTTTGCCAGCGAGAAGAAGCTCTGTGAGCAAATCTTTGATGGCTTAGGGACTGCTATTGACGATGCCTGCTTTATGGAGACAGTTAAAGGTCCGGCAATTCAGCTTTTCAATTTCGCTGAAGCTATCAGTATAAGCAGGAGATCCCCTGAGAAATTGTTCAAGATTTTAGACCTTCATGATTGCTTGATGGATTTGATTCCTGATATTGATATCGTGTTTGATTCGAAGTCTTCAGAGTCCATTCGTATTCAAGCTGCTGAGATACTATCTCGGTTGGCTGAGGCGGTAAGGGGTATATTATCTGAGTTTGAGAATGCTGTTCTTCGGGAACCGTCCAAGGTTCCTGTTCCTGGTGGGACAATTCATCCATTGACAAGGTATGTCATGAACTATATAAGTTTGATCTCTGATTACAAGCAGACATTGAGCTCGCTTATAGTGTCTAAACCATCGACGGGGTCAAGGTACTCTGGTGATCCCTCAATCCCAGATATGGATTTTGCTGAAGTAGAGGGTAAAGTCCCATTGGCTATTCACTTGATTTGGATAATTGTCATCTTGCAATTCAACTTGGACGGCAAGTCCAAGCATTATAAGGATGCATCTTTGTCTCACTTGTTTATGATGAACAACGTTCACTACATTGTTCAGAAGATAAAAGGGTCTCCTGAATTGAGGGAGATGATTGGAGACCATTATTTGAAGAAGCTAACTGGGAAATTTCGGCAGGAAGCTACTAGCTACCAGAGAGCGACTTGGGTAAGAGTATTGCATTGCTTGAGAGATGAAGGATTACATGTGAGTGGTGGTTTTTCTTCTGGGGTCTCCAAAAGTGCTTTGAGAGAGAGGTTCAAGTCCTTCAACGCTATGTTTGAGGAGGTTCATAGAACCCAAGCTACCTGGTTGATACCGGATTCTCAACTCCGGGAAGAGCTTCGGATATCGATATCAGAGAAGCTAATCCCAGCATATAGGTCATTCCTTGGGCGATTCAGGAGCCACATAGAGAGTGGAAGGCATCCAGAAAACTACATTAAATATTCAGTTGAGGACCTGGAGACTGCTGTTTTGGATTTTTTTGAAGGGGTCCCTCCTTCCCTGCACTCGAGGAGGAGATCTCAGTGATGGATTGGCGTGAGTTTTGCAACTTAGAAACTAGGACACATTCTTTTAATTTTTTTCCCTGGAGCGTTCGGGGAACTGAATGCTGGCTAAACTGAGCACTCTCAAGCTCTCAGGTATTCCAAGATTCACCATCCATCATTCCCAGGAACAGAAGAGGCTCATAGTCTGTCCACGAATTGGTATAGCTTCATTACAAAGCCAAGTTGCTCAGCCTGAATGCTTCTGCCATGTAAGCATGTTATTGATTTATTACCACATTCTAGATTTTGTTTTATTTGTTCGTAATGTGATTTTGTTGGATGTGTGTTATTGTTCTCTGAAATATAATGTTTAAAAAAAAAAAACCAGCTTCCTTTGCAGCTTCAGATGGCTTTTGTACAATGTGACAGTTTTGGCAGTAATAAGATGCATATTGAAAATGAAATCTGAGATAAACTCATCACATCCGGCATTTTGTGTTTGATACTCTAATGAAATCATGATTCATGTATCTTGAATTGGAAAATAGTGAAAAGCTTGTGCGCACAAAAATGGAAATTACTTGTGAGATCGAAAAAAAGGAAATTGCTCAATAGTTTTGACTTTGTCGAAACAATTGCACTTGGTAGATATCTATACGCTTTTTCCTAGTTTTTAGTCTGTCTGTGTTCTGTAGGAATTGTTTGATGGTCTCTTTATCCGAAAATTTCCACGATTTCTGTGTTGCAGCAATGTTCAAACCGTAAAGGAATGGATTTGTTATGTTCTTTGCCTAACACATGCACTAAGATTCTTCGTTAATAAATTTGTTGGTAAAAAGGATTTGATCATAATTAATCATGAAGATGAATTCTTTAATGTTAGTCTATCTCCTTAACAAACTGCAACTAATGAGAGAACAGTATAGAAGAATAGTGAAAGAAATAAAAAGAATAATTAAAAAGAAGGGTAGCTTAGTGCTTATATCAAGGGTCGCAACTACGTGCACTATAGTCTTTTTGTGTTGTGTTCTTTCAAGTGACCTCGTGAAGCTCCATTGCTGCATTCTAGTCACTGTGTTGTTTGCTTTCAAATCACTTGAGAAATTGGTAGTACTTCTACGACTGTCAGGCAAATATCATCATTCTCAAACTCATCGGTAAAAGCCCATCTTCTTCCTCTTCCTCAGCTTGTTTGGAATCACGACTGTAATCATATATTAGTATGTTTTATGTAAGTCAAGATAAAACTCCTCTCATATATTATCCTCATATTCTGTAAATCACGATGAAAAAACTGTTTATAAATTATTATAAACAGACCTAAGCTGCTGGTCAAGACGTCGTTGCACTCAACGGTGAAAATTTTAAAATTAGAGTCTATACAATGAGCCTGGTGAAGTGGTCAATTAGTGTATTTATTAGCTTACTCATGTCAAACAAATAGGATCGAACTATTATGTTTTTGATTTATGACTCATCTCAGTTATATATATTTGTCACTTGATATGGAATTTAATCGTAGACTATTAACAAGGCAATATTGAGAAAATAAAGCTCGCTGCTTAAAAAGGAGCACAGATACAAATCTCGGAAGGAAAATGGAAAAGAATTGATAAACTCGAGGTAGATTCTGAAAAGCGCATTAAAATATTTGCAATGATTTGCCAATTTCTTTAGATTGAGACTACCAGACGATTACTCAACATAAGGTAATGTTATAACTAGACTTTAGGCTACGACGTTGAATTTTGAGATTGTGCTTTCGGCGACACACAGACGACGCTTGCAAAGTACATGGATGATCCATGCATCCAACCGGCGCTCTGGCTCTTATATTTCAAAATTATTCCAGAAACGTCAACTTGAGTAAAAATCTGAGATATGAAGAAGTGACTTGGGTATTTTAACTTTGGCTTTGGCCGGGAAAAATAGGTATTTAAACGGGAAAGAAGTTTACTAGTTTATCTATTTTGAGTGAAAAAAAAACTTGGCTGGAAATGGAATGGGGCAACAGCTTTAAAAAGGGACAAAAGAACCGTAAGAGGATGCATGTAAGTAGATCCAACGTCATATTTTAATTCAAAAATCTCAAGACTAAAAGCTTACGAGTTTTTTTTCATTTATGTACTCTTTATTAAATTCAATTCTATTTGATATATATATATATATATATACCTTGAAAGTGGTTCTATTTGATATAAAACTGGGCGCAAATTTTAAGGTGCAGAAAGAAATCTGTTTCCCGACTACTAGGTGGCTTCGCCTAGACGCTTGATATTCTGATGCCATTTATTGGGAAGTAAACGGCACATAAACAAATTCAATAGTACATCGCACATATTAATGCAAAAACTTGAGGTGAAATTTCTTGAATTCTTTCACTTGTATATATACTTCTTATTAAACCTGTTTCTATCTGATGCATTTGTCACATCAATTCAAATCTGCCCGCATTCCACATTTTAACATCCATTAAAATCTTTATTAAGCCAAATCAGTCTGGCATTCCGTTTTTGGTTTTTTTTTTTTTTGGGGGGGGGGGGCACTTTTTAAAGGATTCAGATCATCGCCAATGCTTTACGAGGAGACGGCTTAACTTGAACATGAAAAAAATGCATAAGGCGAAAAATGAAGTGTCCCATTGGTCGCTTGATAATATAAATAATTTGATCACAAATTCATCATGAACAAGAAAAACTATCATGTTGTTCAATCTCCTTGTGAGCAGCTGAAACTGCAACTATCAAGAAAGCAACACGGAAGACTGATGTAGGAGATAAAAGAATTAAAAACAAAAAGAGGTATACATAGCTAACTTTAAGGATGGGTACAAAGGAGGTGGTCCAGGATCATATGCATATTCTAGGTTATTCTGTCTTTTCTTCTATGTCACCATTTGAAACTCCATTGCTGTCTTGCACTGATCCAGCGTCTACCACACTTCGAACATCCTTTGAAGATGATATTGGGGATGGTTTTATGAGGGTCAAGCTGGTATCATCCTTGTCAAACACATCGCCAGCATCATCGGTATATGCATATCTGCAAGAACAGAGGCAATCGTGAGAATAAAGTGGCTGGTTAAAATAACACGCATATATGCCAGCTTGAAGGCAAAACATAGTCCAATTCTATTTAACAAATAAGATTCCAATGAAAAATGGAAGAGTTGAGAAATTTCTTGGTAGATAAAACCAATCATTGATGAAAAATTGGACATATAAGCATGAAAAATGTGGTAGCTGCTTAATATACCTGATGTTTGTTAATCCTTGGCTTGCAGTTTGCCTGAGGATTTCTTAAAGTAACTACTGGTAGAAGCAGGAATTTACCTCAAAGAAGTTTGAGATGGTGCCCAGAGAGCGCAGATGACACACAAGAGAGAGAAAGACAGAACTTGCCAAAAAGCAGGGATGATCCATGCATTCTGCCACTGCTCGTTGTATACATCATTGGATTTAAAATAAAGCTGATAATACAGAATTGGGGGGAAAAAGTGAGTTACCGAGAAATCGATTATGTACTTTAATAGAGAAAAGAAGAACCATTATATGTGTTTCAACCTTTCTTGTAAACTATAAAGCTTACTTCTTACACACACACACACACACAACCTCCGGTTCTAACTATATAAGACCTCGTGATATATATATATATATATATATATATATAGTCTCATAAATCCACCAGTACATAACTAATTAAAAAAGTAACTTAGCTATATACCCTATTAGGTAATGGATTGGAGAATAGACTAACAAATTACAGTTCATAGTTCCATCTCATGCTTCAGAGTCATTTGCATCGTAATGTAATACAATTATCTTTCACAAGCTTGCGAAAGCAAAACATACACTTCATAGTTTCCATAACACATGTATTTCTGTGGGTCTGTGGATGGGATTACCTCATAGCATATCCAGCCCACAGATACAATCACTGCTACCGCCAAGGCGTTAGTGAACTTCCTGTACATGTCTAGTTTCACCATCATCCTTCTAGCCTGTCACATTGCATAAGCAGGTTAAATCATTAGTAATATCACTATAATAAAATTCACAAGATAAGTTGATCTTGCTTGATGCTTTATAACAGATAACCAAAGAAAAAAAGGACCCGAAACTCATACTTCAATCCCAGAAATATATTATCCTTATAATTTTCTTCAAACGAACGTGAAGTGAAGATATATCCTAGTAGGTGAATACCTGAAGCTTATTTAAAGTTGCAGAAAGTGAGGTGAAAATCCATAGGATGAAGAATGCATCCAATAATGCAACAGGAAGAACCAAAAACAGTCTTGCTTTTCCAGAAAGATCACTGATTGTTCCAACATTTTCAATCAACTCAAGGACTTCAGACGCAATAAAGAAGGTGGATCCAAGCATAACCACCTTTGACGTAAGCCCACCAAGGGTAGGTCTCACAACTCCATAGCCCATTGAAACCATCAAAATGATAAGGCGTGCCACTGTGCGTTTAATGGTGCCAAAGGTCACTGCCCATATTGTTGTCCCAGTTGGCCTGACTCCGGTTTCATTGAACTCGGCATAGTCAAAGTACCATAGCGCCATCTCAAACATGCCCAGTGTTATAACTAGAGTGATGCAGTTCTGCAGTGGAAATACTTCCTTCCAAAATCTAGCATATTGAGAGAACCAATAGATCCCAAGCAAAACAAAGGCAAGGGACATGAACCCATAAAAATTCTTCAGCGGTGCCATTCTGCCAGGAAGATAACCAGCAGGGTTCTTCCATACAGTTTTCCCTTCTACAGCCACTTCTTTAAGGCTCAAATCACAATGAATAAAATACAAGTTATACATCCCAGTTTTTGTTATTTGTATAGACCTTAGTGGCAGTGATGCTTCTTCCTCATTTGTGTTAAATGAGATGCTATAAACTTGAGGCCACTCAGAGTTTATTGTTGAAGGGCGGTAAATGACCTGGCCTTCAGTGCATACACCCAGTTTAGCAAGATCACCTGTGCAACACACAGCCCTTTGACCACCATAGGCCGAACCACCAATTGTCTCCCTATCTTCAACTTCAAAGATAACAGCTTGAATTGGCAACGAGCTGAAGTTACTTGATTCCTTGGGTCGGCGGAATGTGATCCTTTCAAATCTAGTTTTCAAATGACATCAAGCTGTGTTACAAGAGCAAATATATACTGATCTTATGCAAGGGAACACAACAATGAAAAATGATGGGCCTAGAGGGTCCAATTTACCAGCAGTTTCTATCAAAACACCAAAACTCTTAAATAATCGTCAGAAGAGTAACAGAGCAAGGCCATGTAGAATGAAAAACTTAGAATTTCAAACAAAGCCATCCTAAAATTTGCATATAACCTATAAAGTTTTTGTATAATCAAATTTGGAACTGACAAGACAAACTAGCAGCATAAGTATTCCAATAAGTTTTTCCTTTCCATCACACTTCTCATGAATCTTTCCAAAAGTCCTTTCGGACATAACAAGTTTAGATTCAAACCCAACAAGAAATATTTTATGCTTTACAGATTGAAACAAATCTAGCAGCCAGTATTCACTCTTTTATTTGATGTCACTCTCCCAAGCTAATTGGCTAGAATTCCTTCTACATCGTAAAATCTTCTCATAAGCTAGAGAGACGAAAGTCAACCTGCCCAGAGTTCTCAATTACTTTTTTGGAAAGCAATCATGAAATCAGTATCACTGCCCAACAAAATTTAGTCATGTTAGCCGCTCAAAAATCACAGGACAGCCATAAAAAAGCTGATGGGAAAGCACTTTCAACATCAAGCAAAGCCCCCACTCCATCCCGCCAAAGTTAGCAACTAGCACGCACCAAAACCCCCGGCAAAACCCAGAGATCAGTGTGACTGTGAGTTGCAGAGGTGAAAAGAAACTCACTTTATGTAAGAATCGCCATTCGCAGCTACGGAAGTCTCATTATGATTACCGAGGGAAGAGTAAATCCCTTCACTCCCTCCGTGCACCACGAAGGCGTTACCTTTGCCGACGAATTTCTCTCCTCTGTAGTCGTGAACAGAGGCTTCAATGTACAGAGAAAACACCGATAGCAGCAAACATATAGATAGCGCGTAAGGGAACTGCGACATTGGAAGAAGATCAGAAGCCAGAACAAGAGAGAGAAGCCGGATCTACGGCTGGCGGTAGAACTGCTTTGTGTCTGAACTGCGATGAAAGAGAAAGAGAACAGAAAATTGCCAAATTAAATTAAAAAAAAAAGCCTGCAAAATTAGTTGAGATTTTAAATTCCTGGATCGAGCTAGAGAAGCCGCAGTGTAATTATTTATCATTTAGCGCCTGGGCTGTTAACTGTGGTGGAGAGAGCTGGTTAAAAAAAACTATGGTGGAGACTGGAGGGCTTGTGAGTGTGGGGCTCATGATTATGTGCGGGACGGTGCACCGATTTACTGTGGACTTATGCATTAAAAATGAAGCAAGTGAATGACTTTGGGAAGTCAAAGGTGAAAAACAACCGGGAACACGTGTAAATGAATGTGTCTAGAATAGTGAATTAGTGCCAAACAAATATTGTAGGTTCTCCGAGATCTCTCCTTTTCCTGCCTACATTTTTCTCAGTTTTGGTGGGTAAATGACAAGTCAAGGCTGTCGGTGCTAACCATTTTTTGGATTATTTTAAATATAAGATTCACTTTATAAAGTAAAAGCCAATTTTAATTTTAAAAAAATTTTAATTTTTTTTAATTTTTAAAATTTTAAATTAGGAATAACTAAAAAAATGTGTTGTTATTTACTTTTCAAATATTATCAATTATTATTAAAATATGATAAATAAGACTGATTTAAAATTTTAAAATTTAAAGATATTTTTTTTGGATTCTTCCTTTAATTTAAAACAGAAAGTGATATCGAATAACAACAATTATCAGTTTGTAGTAATTAATTTTGTGCAAATCGAACATGACTATTTTTATGACCGAATGGACATAAATTTGATGAACTTTGAATTATATTTTTACTTCCCTGTTGTCTATTATAAGAGTTAAACTAATTTATATAAATTAAAAAAATCAAATTAATTAGTTAATTATAACAATGTGACATATTCTGCTTAAAATACTCCTATGCTACATTAATTTGTATATTAATTCATAAATTAGGTAAATAAAAAAGTGATATATATATATATATATATATATATGAGAGACAAAACCAACTAAGATTTTATATTTAGAAATAAATACAACGTCCAACTCTTTTGTTAGGGACCATAGGGAATGATTATTAGAGCATGGTGCCACACTCCTTAAAAATTTTTGAATCGATATGCTATATAAAAATAAAACGAGTGAAAATCAATTCTTTACTATTTATCCATGTAATTGTTGAGTTTTTTTTTTTGTGTGTAAATAATTGGTTTTTAGAAATTTCAAACGATTTCGAGGAGATTCTAAATTTCCAAGCAGGTTTTATGCCAACATCTCCCATGAAATATCATTGATGACAAATGTTTGAAATAGTGATTGAAATCTTTAAAAGCAATTTTTTAATAATGTTTATCACGTATGAGGTAACTATATAAGAAGAATCTTATCTTAGCTTACGCAAATACGCCTGTGATAAACAACTCAGTCAAATGAAGTGAATAACTATTCATTGAAGTGAAACCACGAATCTCAGGGGTTCATGAGTGGCAGCCTCTTTGCACGCAGCATATCGGGACAATAATAATAACTACTCGTTGCCTACAACACACAGAAAAAGGCATATAGAATACATATTGCACTATGAACCCAGCTGATCAACGTGGAAAAGTTTTGTGATATTTCCCACCATTATCATATCGTTATGAATTTAAATAACTAAAATTATCAATTTCTCCAGGAAAGGGGGCAAAACAAAAAAAAAAACAAAAAAAAGGGAATGCTCGTATTCATCCATAACAGTATTACACAAGAAAATTCAACAATGTTCAGCCTCCTAATTCCCAGAATTATGATCCACAGCTTCTAAACAGCCCCCACCACACAAAAAAAGAAGAGAGAAAATGAAGCAAAAGGAGAAAAGTAGCCGCTGAAATATTTGCGGACGACAAGAGCTTGAGGTGGTAGGGTACACTAGTCCATGTCAAGGAACTCCATTCTTCTCCTCATGGTCCCTTTCAAATCACTAGCCTCCCTTTCCGCCTTCTGTGCCTGCGTCATCAATATTTGAAGTGATTACCAAAGTAAATCTGGACAAGACAACCGACTATAAAACCGACTTGCTGCTAAAAACAGTAAATATTGAACCATAAGGCTTGATTTCAAATGCTCCGAGAAAGAAGGCATGCTATAGCCTAGATCCAAGTGCAGAAAGATGCACAATTACAAAGAAAATACTAACGATATTTTGTTATATAATCAAAAATAAATAATGGCAAGTCCTTTAACATAATTTAATCTAAATTACTATTCAAAGATAATTATCACGTCCTGAGCTGTAATAATTGGCAAACAAGCAGTAACATCATTATTTGAGCATAATAATCCTTGTTTGCTAAACATAAGCTTCCCATCAGAGTTCCCTATTGAGCTACAAGAAATGCATGGATTACTGAGGGAAAAACCAATGCTTGCTCATTCTTAAGTCAGGAAAAAGCGTTGCTTTATTCCCCTCTTCATCTCGAGTCTTGATGCACCAAAACTACCATACATTTTAACACTCTCCTATATCTTCCTTAAGAAGTTAAAAGATGATTTTAGTAGCTCATTCTTATGATACCCTGGTATCAAATATAGATCTTCTTAAGTGCCACTGTACTTCAGGTTAGAACCAGTTAAACATCAGAATTGATGAGCTTCACTTGAAAAATATCACGTCTATGCATCTGATCAGATTAGACTATGTTCACCATCACACAGAGCTATGTAATGTGCATGAAACAGCCACGCACAGATTCATACTTGTTAAGAAGGAAGCTGCAATCTAGATGTTATCATAACCAGTTACTGATAGGAAATATTCTACAAAATAATTTTTATTTTAAACTGCTTATTTGTTGGTTATTTATCATGACGGGATAAATATGTGACAGCACATTATCTTCACTCGAGGGCAAATACAAAACAAAAGTAGAAACTCAGAATTTCAGTAAAATATAAGTATCAATCCAGAAACATTTACCCTCTTAATTTCTGGTTCTGAAACACGTGTCATGCTCTGTGGAAGTTCCTCCTTCTCCATGTCCTAAAATTTAAAATGCGGCTAAGACTGAGGTCTAAAAGCACAAAAAGTTTACCCAATGTAAATGGGAGAAAAAAGAGGCCATACCAGCTCACCAATCAAAACAACATTCTCCCCACGGATTACATAGAGACCTAGAGGGATATCACAGTAAAGATCACCAACAATAACCCTCTCACAGGCACCCTCAAGAACAGCATTAGCTGCATTTAGTAAATATGAGATATAAGATTCTAAACATGTAGCAGCCTAGCAGGTCAAACCAAGAACAAATGAATGAAAGTTGGTACCAAATTGATCAAAAGAGAGAAGTGTTCCCAAGAGCTTACGGCCATCTCTCAGCAATACAAGAAGTTTCTCTACAAAGTCAATAGCATCAGAACATCAAGAATTGACACAATAATTGCAAAATAAGTTTACTTGAACAGTATAATTGAAATAAATTTACAACTCTATCTGGCTTCCATTGCCTTGGAACCAATATCTAAACAATTCTTTATAGTGGCGGTCTGTATGGCACAAGCAATGAAAGCTTTTCGACAAATAATATTTTTAAATAGCAGAATTTGCATCTTTTCCTTGTTATGAATGTAAGATAAATAGGCACTGTCAAGCATTCACTTTAGCCAGAGTTACTTTAACTGTCCTGACTCGTGAGTTGAAACAACTAAACTAGAAAGTGATTCAAGGTTCATGCATACCCTCAATTGCAGAAGCAGCAGAAACTATGGTAGAATTAAGGAAGAAATTAGATTGAATTAAGGTAAACAAAAGGAGATGCGGAATAAGGCTCTTGGAAAAATCAATGTTGTTACCTCAAGCGGTGTTATCTAAAGGTATCTAGTACAACCATATCATACCAATCAAGTTCAAATATTTCCATATGACTTGCTTCTCGTACATTGCTTTTATAAAAACTGGAGGTCCTCAAAAAATTCAAGATCGTCAAGACATTTTGGCATCCAATATTTTCTTTGGTCATACATTCAACAGATGAGGATTGTTGAATCTCTGATTCTCTACACGTTCAAGCTGTTAGTCACAGCCAAGTTCCCAAACTACAGATGGTAGGCGTCAAATATATGATCTCATATGCACCGTAGGGAGGTAAGAAACTAACATGCATGCACAACGTACAACAGAGATATGTACTATTACTGAAAAGGGACCCCTTTCCCCATAAAATGGTTACACAACAGCTAAGACTCGAGCATATTTGGCACATAACAGGATGTCGTAGGTTACACCGATAAAATAACTACAACATAAACTTCAACAGAAATGTCAAACAAGTAGACGATGAAAAGAAAGAGAAGTCAGTCCTTCCTCAACTTAATAGTAATGCTTAAATTCACAGTTGCCGGAAGTAAAATGTTCAATTAATACAGATAATCTTCTTCGAATCTCTTATCAATATGGAATAGTACATAAGGGGAGAATTCTCACTGTCAAGATAACTAGCAAGTGAAGTAGAAAGGTAGACATCCTCTGGGCCTGCCCAAGCCATTATGGAGCTGAAACGCTTTCGGTATCTCAAAAACCACCGAAAATTTCTCTAGAAACCACACAAATGGCATTGGCAGCACAGATTGATCTCTGGCGCCTAACCGAACACTTCAGGAATCCTTGATAGCAACAAAATCCCGATAACCCCGAAATACCCACTACACGAATAAGCTTTTCCCCCTAAAAAAAAACCCTAAGCTTTCCGCAGGGGATCAAAAGAGAAAGGACCTTCGGTCTTAGGTCCAAATCAAAGCGAATCCGAAAAACATGAGGTCACTCTTCCGGATGGATGGAACAAGGTGGTCGGAAAAACTCCCTTGGATCCAGGAAGAGTGCGAGAAGAGAATTGTGGCAGAAAGGGAGAGGGTTTGAAGAGCAGAGCGAGCGGGAAAAGATTGAGCAAGAAAGGGAAATACAATTAAGTTGGGTCTGAATTTTGTAGCTCTAGGTTTAGGGATATGGGTTGGGAATAGCTGGAGCTAGATGAGTCCAGCTGCTAGTTCCTTCCTCCATTAACTCCGTTTGTCTGCTCAGCTGATGACCGTAGTTATTTGCGGCGCTCTTCCCGTTTCACTGTAGAGGTATTTTCCGTTTGGCTTGTTAAAAACATTTTATTTCCCCTTCTGTTATGTCCATGTTAGGAAGTGGAACTGTGGAAGAGAGACGCAGGTAAAATGATTTTGGTTTGTTAATAAATTTGTTAAAATTTTAACTAAATCTTTTTAACAGAATTTTTAAATAAAAATTTAGTTAATAAAATTAACTTATATATATATTAAAAAAATGAATGAATTTTTATACTACGTTTATTAATAGAATGAGCTTGCGGGTGAATCAACTTATCACACAATCCACATATGAAAACAGAGCCTGATTTGTTGCAAGCTTAATATTATAACAAGACTGTTGAGTGATTTGGCCGTGTGAGACGTAATATGAATTTCCCCATTTTTTTCAATCAATGTATTTCTCTCTATGACATCTTCTAATTATTATATCAAATGAGGATAGGCCGATACATTTGGGTGGAATTTAAAATTAGCCCTACTTCTGTTACTTGTGAAAAATGAGAGATTAAAGAACATTTGTTAATACTGAGAATTATTCATCTGCAAATCATCTTATAAAGAGAAAAGCTGACAACTTGGCAGAGGAAAAAGTGGAGTTAAGAGTACAAGCACAGAACAGATGAATACATCAATCCTTTCTACAATTTTCTGTAACATGAATTGCCCTGCATTAACAGATACAACCATGAAAAAAGGGGGAGAAAACAGAGACACATACTCTGCACCACTACATATCATGATGCAGCATCAAAGATGAACTCTGTTTCTAAAAATGCGAGCTCCACTTCATCATTCAATCACCATTGTTACATATTTGACTTCTCGCTCGAGTCTGAGGCACTGTTATATTGTACATCTGCATAGAAGGGTATTATGATATTTAGTTAGATACTTGCATGCTCCTTGTGGATAAAAAATTGTTTGGCATGAGATAATTTGCTTCTTGAGTTAGATAAACTTGGATATGACTTCAGATGGCCATAAAGTTTAACATTTTCTAATGCAACTTCGATGAAGAAGCATTTTTGAGGTATACGCACTTTTATTGCTTACTGATATTTAATGAAACTGAAGAGCTTACCTGAAGAAGTGAAAAAAAGGAGACAGCACCAAGAAAAGCAGATTTATATCTCTAGAACAATATCTGCAATAAGAAAAATGATCTCATTAGTCCTTGGATTTTTTTAGTTCTATTACCCATCAACTTCCTGCCCCATAAGACCTTAGAAAGTTAGCAAGAACTCACATTCAGAATCAGTCCTGACCCATTTACAGCCATCGTCAGTTTTCTCTTCTATAGGTTCATCCTCATTCCTCTTCCTTAGAGCCTTTCTGTCCTCAAGGCGCTTCTTTGATGATGACGCCCGAGATGGAGAACATTGAGAGTATATATTCTTGTGAAGAATTGTCCTCAAAAGCTGTAGTTATGATCACAGTGTGCAGAGATTCAGTACAGACATAGCAGCGTGATATATTAAAAATTACAGACTTAAATGGAAAAGAAAGAAAAAACAACTTTGTGATTTTGCACTATGAGCTTACGATAATTACCACATACTAATCATTTATCAAGCATTGTATCAAAATGCAAAGAATACAGAGATTTTTATGCAAACTTGTGGGGTGCATGTACCTTTTCCATTCTTGACTCTTGTAGGGTATCTCTGAGACTGGGTTGTGGGGCAAACCCCTTCGCACAAACGAACATCTTCTTTATCAGAAACGAAATAGATTTCTTCCCTATGGCTTTCTTGCTATTATCTGCACAAATGTTTTTGCATTTACCAAGTATGACACTAAGCGTCTTCTGAATATCTTCTTCTTCTTTATTATTTCTGTTAGTAAGATTATCATCAGGATCGGTGCAAAGAGCGTTGCTGATTCTCCGATCGACCTCCAAGCTGGATGGGCAATTGAGGAATCTATCCAGAGGGAGCTCAGAGATTTCCTTTTCGACATTTTTGTTTGGTTTTCGTCGCAAGAGCCTGGTTAACTCCTTCTGTAGTTTGCCGATTTCTTCGGGAGTGAAATCTGCTAATTCCTCAGACGACGAAGGATCATCTTCTGGAGGATTTTGGGTCTGATCATTATGATTTAGGGTTTCTTTGATCTCATTGTTGTTTCCAAAAGTTCCTATGGCTAGGAGACCATGAGGCCAGTCGCTGAATTCTTCCCGAGGCTCTTGTTTTGCTTGATCTGTGCATGAACGGGACACGTCAGAGAAATATTTTACCCCATTTGATGGTGAACAAATGATTTTCAACAACTAATTTTGGTTTTTTTTTTAAAATGAAAACTCATCCTTTTTATATCCTTTGCTTTTTTAAACCTCATCCTTTTAATATCTAAAACAATAAATTATATATATAAACATTGAAATAAAAAAATGCATTAAAATAAATAATCTTATTATCCCTTATAAATATTTTAGGAAGAATTGTTATAAATTCCTTAAAAAGAATATAATTACTAAAAGTTTTAATGATAAAAGAGTAGCTAATAATAACAAATTCTAAAATAAAAAATGACAACTATTTACTTGTTATTGAGATTTATTATTAAACCTCATTTTAATTCTCCTAATATTTTAACTATAAATTTTATATTTGTTTATTATTGAAACATTAAGGTGTCGTACTTTGGTGTGTTTCTGCTTCTATCGTGGATTTTTTTTTACAGGATTTATATCGTTGCTGAATAATTTCAAGAGAAAAAATATCAATGCTAATTAGATGTTGTTGGAGTGTACGTCTGACCAAAAAGAAGTCAAGTTATTATAAATTTTAAAATAGTGTATAATTTGAATTGTAATACATTGCCTATAAAAAAATAATAATTCTGGTTTATTTATTCAATTAGTAATGGATTGCATTCTTCCACTAAAGGATGCTTTTAGAACTATGTAAACTTTAGGACTAGCTGTTTTTTCTCCTAATAAAAATTGTATTCAATAGCTAATGAGTTTAACAATTTTGTGTACCTTACGTAAATATTAATAAAATAAAATCACAGCCTCCTAAATCTTGGAAAGAAAAATTGTTCTTAGAAAACTAAATGATATTATATAATAAGCCAAGAAGAATTTCTTATATATAATAATTTAATCAAAACCTTAAAAAATTTTAATTCTCTATTGACAATTGTTGCGCAGGATGTACATGCACATGTATATATAGAGGGGAGGCAAGGCAAGATGAAGATGAGTGCAGCAACAAATGTGTCTTCTATTCTAGACAGTATCGACAACAGCGTTCTTCATGTAGAGATCCAAAATCTAAGTCCTTTTGTCTGCTACAGACAGAAAAATTAAAAAGAAAAAAAGGGCTTGATTATTGATAGCTAATTATTTTAATCTGTGTGAATATTCTAAATTATCTCCGATATTATGGGAAAGTTTAAGCACAGTAATCCATGAAAAGAAACGAAAACTCTTGGGATGTGAACACCCTAGCTACTAAATATGTTCATTTGGAATGTTCTACGGTTTAGCATATAGGAATTAACCACATCATCATATTTTACGTTAATTATATGAAGAGTTCGAGAACTCTTCGATCAGTATTAGAAATAGTAGTGTAATCTCCAACTAATTAGTGGCAAATTAACAAACGCAAAACAAGCTAAGATCCTGTGTGGGAATGTCCATATCACTATCACTGGAGATCTGATCTGCTGCGTGTTCGTATGTTTTGGCCGACTTAATTCAATTCTATGAGTCGATCATCAGAATGACGATGATGTTTGTTACGTGCACAGGTGTAAAAAGCGAAGCATCATGAAAATGATCAAATGAGAATACATATATATGTATATAACAAGATATATCAGAAAATGTGCAATATAATAGAGTACGTATAAGAACAGATCCTTGTAACTAACTGCAGCACATATATATATATATCTATATTATAATTATATATTATCTAGTTTTTAATCAGTTATCAAACTACAGGATCTTAAGAGGAGAACGTGAATGGATTATGAAGAGTGTGAAGACTTACAAGGAGCTGCATATGATGAGGTTGGTCTTCTGTTCTCTTGTTTCCCACCAAATCTATTTTGCATCCAGCTGAGAAACTGCAAATGATAAGTCCAAACATTTCATGAACTGAGAGAGAGAGAGAGAGAGAGACAACATTAACTAGCTAATGTCTCTGTCGGATACAAAACACACACACACACACACAAAATCCCCACTGGGATTTACGTACGCACCTTCATCGTGAAACTAGAAAATAGAGATGGTGAGAGAGGGAGGCGAAGTTGCAGAAACACGAATTTGCAGAGAAGAGAATGAGAATGGTGTGTTGATGAAGAGGAGATCTTAAAAACCAGAGAGGGAAGAGCTTTGGGATTGGAAATCTAAGATGGGGATGAATATTTTGATGAATTTCATGGCCAAATTGAGACGTGTGGCTCTAATTAATTAGCTTGATTTGATTTCTCTTTGGGGTTCAAGTCCCCAATGGCTGCTTCTTTCTTTCTTCCTTCCTTTCTTTTTTTTCACTCCTTTCCTAATCTGTGTCTTTGTATCTGACCAATCTTCCATCTCTCTCTTTATATATAATCATATCTTGCATTTTAATAATCTCCGAACATTATTATATTCATTCACAGCACGAAGGACATTCTCCTCTGCCATGTCTCAATTTCTAACCGTTGGATCGCAGAATGCTGATCTTCATAAAGATCGGCCTCCTCAAAGACGAGAGAAACCCAATCTCCATACACACTATCCTCATTTGTGGAGTATTTTTAATATTATTAACAATAACAATTGTACGTACCATGATATATATATTCATGAAAAATAAGGATACGTATATAACATCTCTAGTTAATATATTAATGCAGAGATTCATAGTATAAAATGAAACACTCAGCAATAAAAGGTAGGAGATATATAGCTATATAGATATGCATGGTTTCTAGATCCAGTGTTGTGAAATCGATCTCACGTACAGTTGGTGAAATTGTTTACTGTTCAAAGTTCCATAAAGGGAAGGATAGAATAATAGTGAAACTTAGTCCCACGAAGCCAAAAATGCGCAGTAGTTTTAATTTGTGTCGGTATAGTTGCACATAAGAGAATGTACTGTACATATATAATAAATATGGTTACTTAGATTTGGTGTTTCGAACTGCAGCTGTCAGCGAATGGTTGGGATTTTGGTACCAAACCCTAATATATTTTGTTCCTCCCAATATATCTAATTGCTAGTAACATCATGTGTCTTGGAACTTGCAGGTTTCAGTGTGATGATCTCTCTTTTGTTGATGAGAGAATTAGAGAGAGGGAGAGGTACAAAACTGAAGCACGCAGACAAAAATGAAGTTGTATCAGAGAAGGGAGGTATGGGCAGCCCAGGTAGATTAGCAGAAGAAGACAAAGTATTAAATCTGAAAAAAGAGATGTGTGTATAGTACGCTACTATATACGCGTATGTATGTGTGTGTGTGTGTGTGTGTGTGTGTGTGCGACATTTTGAACAAGATCAGATGGAGAAATTAAACCATGGTCTCGCGTGGGAATGTCGGTTTTTTACAAGACCAATTCCTGGATTTATTTCACCTGCTCCATCAACTTGCCATGATAGAGTATCCTACATCATTATATTATCCGTATACATATATACTTATTTCTTAGGAAGATTAAAGAGTCCGGCCATTACCAAGCCATAAGATGAGATAGGGCGCATGTAGAGAGAGTACAAGACGATGGAATCCAATGAACCATAAGATCATACATGTACTAATGCTGATGGAGTAAAGCACTTCAAATTTAGTTGCTGCAAAATGATATATGCGTACAACCAATGGTCTGAAAATATAGCAAAAGAGATTAATCTCTTACAACGTGACGAACTAATGTTTAAATTCTTATTAAGACTATACTGGTGTTAAATGGTTAATGTTGCTTCAAACATATGATTGCCTCCAATAAGTTAAAAAAGTAAGCAATTTACTTAAAAATTAGAAGCCTTAAATCTGTCAAAACTGATAGAATTGTCAAGTTAACCGGTTGAAATATAACAATAAAATGTTTTGTTTATTTTTTAAGAAATTTAATTAGTAGTCTTAAACTATGATTTATGCCTAACATATATTAAGGAAGGAAGAATAGTTGTAATCCCCTTCCTTATTTCTCTTATATTAACAATTGTTTTTCAAAAAGAGAAAGAAAAAATTACTCCTGTTATTATAAGACCTATTTGAATTTGGTCCTATTATAAGACCCCAATCTATCTATTTATATTTTTAAACATAATTGATAGTTTTCAATTAGGAAACAAATTATAAATCCGACTTAACTTAAAAATTAAATACCTGGAGAGGGAAGGGGAGGAACCACATGAGGAAGGGATGGAGGTTAGGTGATGGCAGTTAGCCACGTGTTGCGACATGGTGATTTTCATCATCTCCTGTCGGACCAACACGTGTGCCAAAGGGGTCGGGTTGACTTATTCTTTCTAAATCCATGCATAACATATTATACTCTTAATTTAACCAAACGAATTGATATAATTAACTCATTTTTTAGCATTCTTTGTCACATTAAATTAAATTAAATGCCAATCTAATCTCATTCTTTTTGGGTGATCCTAATCTAATCTCATTTGTCCAAAATCAAAACGCTAATCTCTAAACAGTCAACACCCAACAGTATGTTCCAACTCTTTATTTAAAAAAAAAATTACCTCGATAGAATTTCAGTCGAATTAATTAATTCTAGGACATATTTTATTAAAAAAATTACCCCATCTGTAAAGTTCACTTCGAAATGAGATCTAAATACTCTATATAGAGGTTGAAAATTTAAAACTCTTGATTAAAAAAAAATAAAGGATGAGATATTTATATAGCTTAAACATGAGCTCCTGATTTCAAGATTATCGAGCTCCATCCTGTTGAAGCGTGGCCACGATGGAATAAATTTATAATTATTAATTAATTAACCAAATAATTAATGTATGTGAAGAGAGACATAAAGCACAGTTTCCATGATTAAGGATGGAAATACAAAGCAAGTTTAGTTAATCTAAACCATCTAATTGGTGAACCCGTAAACTTTGTACGTACCAGTCACATAACGTTCCCGTAAAATTGTCCCATTAATTACCAATTACAAAGCTCTTAAAATTTTCAACATTATGCCTTCAAAGTTTTTAGTGTTACCAAGGAGTAATAAATTGATAAATTAATTATCGAAAGTATCTGGAAGGTGAAAAATGACACTGAATGTCTCATGTAATTCAACTGTAGTATATTATTCGAATACACAAAGGAAATTACCATGCTTATATTGAAAACTTCATAAGTACTCCAGTTTTTCTAACAGCATGATGTGATTGAATAGATTTGATCCTTGCTTTTTGAGGTCCTTGCCTTCGATAATTAACTAATAAAAATTATTATTATTGTTGGTGAGACCATGGTGTTATGAGTCACCTAGCACAAATTTTACATTTATATATAAGTTTAATGCTCGCAAAAAAAAATATAAGTTTAATGAGATTTTCTATCAAATAAGTTAATCTTTTGACATATTTGAATTTTGTTTTGGAACTGTGTTGATAATAAAGGTGCCTTACTTAGAGGCCAATATTTACGGATCAAGAGGATTCTAATTACTTAAACCCTCCTATCCAATAAGCTAGTCCTCTAAGATTAAACTCTGATTAGATTTGTGCTCATATATAACACATAGTCAATGGGGGCCTCTATTTTAGTCCAGTAGATTTACTTTGGGAGTGTTTGGAAACATCCAAAAGTGCTTTTTAGAAGCATTTTTTCTCAAAATGAAACAAACTTCTTTACATATTTATTTCATGCAACATAAAAATACTTTTAAGTTTTAAAACCATGATTTTAATTCTATCCAAACACTTCATCTGTGTTTATTTTGAATGACAATATGATCCTGTTAAAGCAGTTTTTAATTATGACTTATGAAATATGATACAAGTATATGTAGAAAATTTTGCCTCTACTTCTATGAATATGTTTATAAGTATTAATACTAAACAACTCCAAACAAGCTCTTAGACTTTTAAGAGGGTGCTCAGCTTATTTTATTTTAAGTGATTTTGCTATATATGAATTCAAACCGCTAAGTCAATTTCCACACCAAAAACCACCGATGGTGTGTCAACAATTAATTATTGCTAGCATGATGTCACAGATGACTATATATATAGTTAATTAGTTTCTCTAATAATTATTTAATATTCCAAATTAGTTCTGATCTCAATCAATGATCCTTAGAAATTAGGCATATGATTTAGTGCCATAATATATATAACTATGATGTGTGTGTGTGTAACACGAACATTGTAGAAATGGATACGAATTGATGTTTGAGAAGGAAGAACGTACTTTAAGGAAGAGAGAAAAAGAATATAATATATATAATCCTCGAGATGCAAAATAATGAGAGATATGATGAAATAGAGTAAATCATCACTTAAACCAAGATTACGACTTTTGTGAAGGAAATAAGGAAATATATGCGTGGCCATGTGGATATTGAAACTACTAGATGCTTAGGGTTTGAGGAAACATTCTAAGAAAAGTAAGCTCGAAAAGTTATTACTAATTATGGAATGATTAGGCACTTAACCCGTAATTAATTATAATTATTATGTGAGAGACTCGTCGTGGAATCAAATCGTCCAAGCATGCATGCACGTTATAGATGTGTATAGTGATATATATATAAATATATGCATATGTATATGTATAGAATTGATGATGATGATGATTGTAGTTTGACTAGGTTGCTTCATCTCTTTCATGATTTGTCAAAACATGAAGCCATGAATGACCCTTGTAGAGTTGTCACTCGAAGACACCAAACCCTTCATCTTTGGCTTTTTATTAGGATTCTGTTTGCTAAAGCCATTTTCTAATATTGGGATTTGTGATTTTGCAGTGAAATTTGGGCATCCCAAGTTGAATGCATACAAATATTTTCAAAGATTTTTACTAGCTAGCACTAGTAAACAATAACCAATTCAAAAATACGAGTCATATCTCACTATATTTTATAAATATTAAGAAAATTAGTTAGATTAATTATCTAAAAAATGTGTTATATTTTTAAGAATATCCTTTTTTTAATTTGTATTGAAAATTATTATCATTGGTGGAAGCTTTCTTTACAAGCACAATTAATAAAGATAACTTTAAAAAAAATTATAAATTTGAGAGACATAATATTAAGGTTACATATTTAAAATTAAAACAAACTCCTCAATTAGCTTCTATATTAACTGGAAGGAGCATTATTTTTATTAACCAGAAGGAGTATTATTTTTATTAACTATATTAATCTTTAACGTTATTTTAACTATATTCACTAAGGGTATGTATGGAAGAAAACTTATTAGTGCTTTGAAATTACAGAAGGAGATTTTCAAATAAAATTAAAAACACCTTCTGAAAATGACTTATACTAAAGAATCAGATAGTCAGATACATTTAAGGCTTGGAGATCGGAAAATAAAATAAATTGACAGAAAAGCTTCATTCTAATTGGGTCCGAGTCTGAGATGATAATTGAAATTTAGAGTGATGAATAATATTAAATTTTGATGGTTTTCAAGATTAAAAAAAAGCATAGTACAAGATACAAATGCATTTAAGATATCTAAAATGTCATCTCAGGTTCAAATATTTAAGTTTTATTTGAGCTTTTTATAATTTTGACATTTTTATTTTAACAAGAGTATAATATAAAATAAAAGCATTATGTCACCTGCCAAATAAAAAGATGTAACTCATATTAAAATAAAATTGATATTTAAAATTCAAATCATTCAATCAAATTTGAAGGTAATGTATAGATTTAATATGAAACATAAGTACAACACATCATTCTTTGAGATGAACAAAAGATGCAGACATAAAAGAGATTCAGTTTCCAATTCATCATCAAATAAAGAATGTTTTCATATATTTATTTTCAAAAAATAGTTTTAACTTGGACTGATTCTTTAAATGTATTTCAGAATTGGTTTCCTTGATAATGAATTATTTAGTTCATAAATTCAAAAAATATGATCAAATATCTAACAACAACATACAATAAATTCCTTAAAATATTAAATTCTTTTTTAAAAAGAAAACTAAATTTGGCTCCATTATTGCAAGGACTGTTTATAACATGTAAACCATGCAATTTGCTACGAAGTATACACTAACTGCAATTTGTATCACTTTTTTAATGGTTTGAATAGAAAAGCAAAAGTAGAACAATGAAATTATTGGAAACCAAGTCTCTCTCTCATTTATGTCCTTATAAGCAATTAAGAAAAAAATACTTTTATGTAAGTCAAGATAAAATTTATTTTACAAATTTATCTTGGATTTCGTAAAATCACCTCTAAAAAGTTAATCTAAACATCCACCAAAACCAAATCTTTTCAAATCAACATTTGTCAAGTTTTCTCTGTAGTCAAATCTCCACCATCCATCTGATTTATTGGCTAAGGAAAGTTTCAAAAAAACTACAACACAATCAACCGGGCTATTTACGCTGCCTTTTTTTTGGGGCAATTCCTTAATATTGGTAAAGGTGTTCATGGAAGGGAATTGGGATGCCTCTAGCTTGTGTCCTATATATCCCCAAAAGGAGAGCAAAATGAAAATTCCAGCTTGTGCTCATCTCAAACCCCATATGGGATTGCGGCATCCCAATAACTGAAAAAGAGATGGAGATGCAATGAGTGAGAAGCAGAAAAAGAAACAAAAAAAAAAACTTCTTTTAAGTCAATTCCCTCCTCTATTTGCTTCCATTAGTCCAAAATTTCTTCTTGTCAACGCGCACACGTTTTTTTTACATATAAGAGTTACTTAATTAATTTGGTTAAATTAATAAAGTCAATTAAATTAGTTTAAAACGAGACATCAACTTTGAAAACATCTCTGTATAATATTAAATTATATATCAATATATGAATTATGTAAATTAATTTGAAGAAAAATTATAAATGTAAATAATAAAATAGATTGAGATTTTATGACTAAATCCAACCTCCAACTAAACAAAGTCGATGGAATGGTCATTAATTTGGTGAGTTGACGGCATGAGGTTTGCAATGCCAAGTTCTCTTCCTTGGAATCACTAGTTTTACACTTAGAGTTGATCATTTCTTGCCCATGACAAGAAGCCAGCAACATTGCTTTGTGGCCATTAGATCACATGGATGGTGAAGATTTAGGCTATGTTTGGAATAGTGTTTGCCTCAAATCAGCATTGCCATTGGAGCAACGCCAAAATGTGAGAGCAATTTCAGAGTCGCCAAGAATATTAACTTAACCCAAATCTCTCATTAATTTAGGGAGTGCTTAGATGAAAACCAAAATATGATTTCAAAAGTGTTTTTACAGTTTATGAAGTAAATATGTGGAGAAATTTACTTCGTTTTACAGAAAAATATTTCTGAAAAGCACTTTTGAGGGTTACCAAACATCCTCAGTGTTAGAGAAACTAATAGACTTGTGCTTCGGTGTTTCCTAGTGAAACAAGAGGAGCCAAGTGACGAAACCAACCTCTCAAGAAAATTGCATGAATCAAATCTATTAAAGTTGTAAATCTTACCATACTTACCACACATATCGAGTATAAACGTTTTTCCATTTTATATAACCCACTGCAACTCCATTGTTTGAACTATACGCACTATGGTAGAAATAGTGTGCAATTTGTCACGTTCCTAGAAATAAACAAAACATGCTTGACCATTGTTTCTTTGGGACAAGAAAAAGGGAACGGCGAGTTTCAATGGGCCATTCCTTTGAGACCATGGATGATGGATCCCCCAGCGTCACATTTCAGCAACTGGTGACTTTTCATTTATAGTTTTTAAATATGAGTAACTTGTATAAAATAACAATGTTTTTTTTTTTTTTGGTTGAATCATTTTATACAAGATTAAAAAATTCACTTTATTTAGGTCAAAATTTCATATTCACAAGTCACAACTTCAGCATAGATCAACCTCTTTGAATCAGCTCAACTCAATTTCATGAAAAATCAAGCAAATCTCAGACCATATAGGCATTGAAGCAATTTGTAAGCCAATGAAGTTAGCTCAACAAGAAAATTGTGTATCCGCTTCAAATCCTCATCAGTTACAGTTCATCATGTTCAGTGACCACATCTGACCAAAGAAATAAAGAGACAAAGTAATCAGAGAGCTAATTTTTTAGTTAACTTTCATTAGAGGATCTGATAAATCAGAGAATTCTGGCTTAAATTGGAAAATAGAAAATTAATATCAACTCATATGAGTATATGATTAGATAGATCCACATGCCTTTCTTTTCCTTTCAAATGCAAGGCGTTTGATCGGCAGAATGGATTGGGAATGGTAAGGACTAAGGAGTGAAGTGAAGCGGCTTGAGCATCTCAAACAGTAATTGGATGTTCAAAAGTTCACGGAGTACTATGGATTAGGATGGTTTTGATTTTTCAATAATTCATTTCCCTTTTTAACCTTTGTTCATTGAATTCAAGATCGAAGAGAGTATTTTAAAAGGGCTGCCATAATCAAGATAATATTGGAGTTTTCATCGTTCAAACCTACCCTACATCCACTAATGACAGCATAGATCACACTGTTCGTAGCTTAGGAATAATATGACTCGTTACAAATTTTATTATCTCCATCTACATGCTGCATAAAGAATAAAGAAAAAAAAAAACAATAAAAAGATTTTAAATAGTTTAAAGCCATGGCTAGAGAGCACTGGGAAAAACAGCTAGAAACTTGCATAGAAAGAAGCCAACGGAACACCTGAGAAGTTGTTCCCACCCTCCTAAGAAGAAACCTGCATTGCTTGGCTGAGCATGTGGCGTTGCAGGGGCCTAAATGCCCACGTCTTATTTTTAGAGGTGCTTCCTTGGGTTGTAGGAAGTGGGAAAAGGGTAGTAATCAAACCTTTGATATCTAATTCATCTCAACCTCAAAGACTAAAGTTTATCAAACTGACTTTTTCATAAAAGAGCATCTAAACTGTAGTTTGTAGAAACTTCATTTTTGCAAATGCTAATCCAACCAAGCACTTAGTGTGTTTGGCTCTCAGTTGGAAACATAATTCTACGACTTTCAAGGTAAAGCTTGTGATGAACGGATTTCCAAATGCATACTAAGGCTGGTGCCATAAATTAGTTCATTGGCCCAACGATGTAGCCATTATTACCACTATCAAGAGGGCCAAATTACTGAGGTCCATGACCAGTCAGGCCTACCTAATGAGTATGCAATGAACCAAAAAACATCCTCATAAAGCAAAGTCCAGTGACTAAATCAAGTGCAGCATCCGAGAAAATATTTTTTCAATATATTTCTTAAAAAAGTAGAGTTAGAATTAACCTGCAGACAGCTCTCTGAAGAAAAATAATATTTCTCTTTGTGCAGATTTAAGAGAATCTGAGCCATGAACACAATTCCTTTCAATGTCCAGGCCACACATTGCTCTGATGCTGTACAAAAAGGAAAACTATTTCACCATACAAAAAAGATAGCAGAGATTATAGCAATAAATGTCATGATATTGTCTCTCACTTTGATCACAGTCTAAAGGCTCAAATGTAAAGAAGTTGAGCAAATATTTTAAACCTAAAGTTCATCTGAACCCAAACAGAGAAAGTGTAAACAATAATCTAGATAACCTGTGAGGATGAGTAATCTTAGCCTTGCGTGCATCAGTTGGCCCCATTAAGGCACGCCAATCGGCGATAGCATTTTCCTTCTCCAAAATCATAACCAATACTGGCCCACTGATAAACAATTGTCACAGAAAAGGATGCAAGGAGATTCAGAACAAGATAACAGCTAGAAAGCAACATCAAGCAATTATTAAAATGAGAGCCAAACAGAAATAACTCTGATGAGGCTTTACTTCCCACAAAAGTGAGGCCAGAATTTCCTCACCCAAGCAGTTGACTACAAAAATCATTAGATGGCAACCATATGATAAAGGTAGGGCTTGACAGTTGACATATAACCTATGTTTTATTGTGCTTACCATACGATAATAAAAGCTATAATGTTGGTCAATATCAAAGCTTTTGTATTATGGACCCTAAAAAGACCTCCCCTTGGTTCTGTATTGAGTAACTTCATTCCCACAATAATTATGGAAAACCAAATTGTTATTGCATAGTCAAGAAAGACATACAACAAACAAAACAATCGAAACTCGGTTTAACTTCAATAAATCTGGCCATAAAGGGATAATATTGAACTTGGATATAATTTGACCCAACAAGTTGAGCATTATAATGATGTGGAGTAAATAAGACTTATGTTCTTTATATTTACTTGGGCGATGAGGCAAATCCAACAAAGAGTTTAACTCAAAAAAGTTGCAATACTGTTACATGCTGAGATCAAGAAAGTCAGGGAGATACCTTGTCATGTACTTTATAAGGCTTACAAAGAAGTTTTTAGAAGAGTGCTCTGCATAAAATCTTGCTACGGTGTCCTCATCAAGTTGAACCCTCTTTTCCTTAAGGATGCAGAAACCAGATTCTAGAATTGTTTTCTTGATATCATCTGTATAGTTACCTAGCAATCCATCTGGTTTTATAATAGCTAGAGTTTTCTCCTTGTTTTCATTTCCATTGCTCAAAGACCTGTATGTTTTTAGGAGACCATCCAGTCAGTTTGTCTCATAGTGTTATCGGGAGGTACTTATAAGATAACATTTTCTACCCCCTTGATGCTTGTAAGAATTTGGGGATGCAGAATCTCCTTTTCACATAGATACATTCATTAAAATTATTTACCAGTTCAATCTCCCAAAGCTATCAAACATACAAGACAGAAAGAGGAGGTGGGAAGCAGAAAATCAAGAATATTTCTTGCTGCCCATCGTGGAACTTATCAATTGCTTCTCCTAATTTTTCTGTCGAGTTGCCCAGAGATCATAATACTCAAGATATTGAAACTGCCGATTTTCAATAATTCTAAGAAGATAAAAAGTTTCTAAGGAGACTGGAATGCCGAATATAATGTCTAAATTCAAAGGAGACTGGAATGCCTGGTGACTGCTTACCAGAAAGTAGAAACTAAAGCGAAAAGGAGAAGCATTCTGTTTAATCCAACAAGAAGTAGCCGCATTGGAAGGACCAAACTGCAAGAATCAGCACTAATTACAGCAATAAAATTCCATACAAGGTTTATGAACTTGTGACTAAGCAAGTATCCACAAAGGTAAGAGGTATTCGAACTATTCACTTGGAAATTATAGATGCTGCTTTGTGTCTTTTTTTATCGTTTTCATTTCTACCAAGCCAACCAAGACCAATTGAACGAGGCAGATCTTTTCCTATTTATCTTCTCATTCACAAGTTCCTAACATTAATCGATGAGTGTGACAAGAAGGGGAAAAGAAGAAAACTTAAAAGTTGCTTTGCTTCCCGATGCACTTCTGAGTACCCAAACAGAAAGGTACCTCACCTGTAATTCTGGGGAGAAAAACTGAAAGAAGGGAATGACAAATCTCGCCACAACCCAGAAAAATAATGAAAGCGGCAGCCAAATCTCAGGGTATAAATTACTGAAGTGTACGAATTTATACGTAGATTTAGCTTAAAGTGTAGAAATTGTTAACAAGCCGAGTTCAAGGAGCTCTCAGTCTCAGACACATCCCGATGACCTGGTGTGACTTGGATATGACCCCAGTCAAAGATCCAACCTTACCTTCGGAAATTGTCGTGGCAAAAAACCCGCTTATGTTGTAATAGCTCGATGTTAATTTCTTGTCCATGTTACCTTCCCAATTTACTCTTTTAATTATAAAAATATTTAGTTCATTCTTCAAAATTAGTTTCTCAATCAAAGCGATTAGATAAAATTCGGGTTACTTTGTCAAGGTGCTCGTGTCGTGTAAAGTAATGGAAGGGAAAAAATTTATTGGGAGCTGACAAGTTGAATAGGAGGACCAGTTTTTTAAATTATGTCTGAACTTATTTAAGGACAAATAAAATGTTAAGGGATTAAAGCTGAAGAGTGACCTGAGAAATGTTATTAGCATATTACTATATTTTGGTAGGTTGTGAAAAACTAAGTAAAAAAACAGCATGTGGTTCCCTATTTTTCTTTCTTTTGGCTGGAATGCTGATTTGATCCGTGACAAATTCTCGAGTTGGTTCACTTTGTTTTTTTGGTGAACTCGAGTTGGTTCACTTTGTATGTATGAATATAGTCAAAAAAAAGAATATAGCGTTTGGGACGTTTCATTTAAAGCGCATTCAATTTGGTAGCTTCGATTTGAAATGTTTAACTTTGTGGATGAATCTATCAAGTGGTATGATAATGATAAATTTTCTGATGCGCCTTGATAAATGGCAACTAGACACACCTTATGTCATAGCGTTGAAACATTGCACTTTGTTAGTACTTTGAATCCTTTGAAGCCGTTTTGTGTTTTGAGGGATAAGAACCTACCTATTGACAGTCTGAAATGGGTGGAGGGACAGCTCAGTTGCTATTAATGAAGACTTCATAGTTCTTTGGGTAAATTTATTTTTGAAAAAAAAAACCCCACACGGGCGAAGAGAAAGAATTCAGGTGTACTTTTTCAGCTATGCATTTTTTATTTATGGGGATGAGAACCGAGGTAATAGAAATAAGTTTACATAAATGTAGCTACAGACTGGAACACATTGCACAAGGGCATATATACACATAGTTAATGACTTATTATACATTAAATACTACACAGTACACACATTTTTCCTGCAGTTCAACTTGGAAAGTAATGTCACTCGAAACACTCGCAATCGCAGAGCTCGATGCAGCATTTGATCAACTCGAAACAAGCAAGAGCAGCACAGAGCTGGGTGCAGACAATAGTGGCTTGGTCATTCATGTAAGAGCAGGTGCGGAGCATGCACATGCAACAGCAAGTATTAGCAAATCTGCTGCAACAAGTGCAAACAGCCTTCTCCAATAGACCTTCTGAAGGTTTCGCTTCTTTTAATGCCGGCGGGGTGTTTGCGGCTGTCGCTTTGGTGTCACCAAATCCAATACTCAGCCCTCCAAGGAATATTCTCTGGTTTTCAGGTTCCACATTCTGCAGGGTGATTCTGCTGTACGCCTGTTTTGAGGAATTTAAGGAATCAGATGACAGAGGAGCTGATCTTTTATCAGTCACAAAAACACACGGAGAAATTTGTTTGGAGAATTGACATTTGGGTCCGTCGTAGAAAATTATTAACAATTCGGTCTCTATTTCAAAAATAAATAAATTAATTAAAATTGTCATTTGTCAATCTCCAAAAGGTGGTTGTTTCAAGGAAACAAAGTGTCAATAATCCCCTTGCAAGGATCCAAATCTCATTCTTCCAAATTTCTTTTGGTGCTTGCTATCAGATTCTCTAATGGAGACATGCTATGGGAACATATTATACGACTCAACATCACATGCTTGGTGCCTTAAAAGAAGTTTCTTCGCATACTATAATTATGTTGAAAAACCTGAGAGTAACACCTAGTAGGTTGCATCTATACCTTCTGTATCAGGAATTGTTCCGGTGCCTTCTTTCCCTTTTCAGCAGTTGCAAGAACCGTGCAGGTGTATTCCGAGGGGACTTTATTTTGTGTGCTCATTTTGGAAACCTTTCATCAAGAAATTTGACACAGTTAGTCTGGAATGATATTGTAACATTACCGGTAATACGTATACCAACCAAAAAAAAAAAAAAAACTGTTGCTCAAAATCAGAATTCAGTTTTAATTCATTGATTAGTTGAAAACAGAAGGGACTAGACAAAGCAAAGGTATCGTTTGGCACTGTAAAATAATCTGAAAAATTAAATTCCTGGTTTTAACTACATGATAAAATATCATTACGAACTTATCTAATCCTCCCCTCTTCCCTCTTTTTAGTTCTATTTTTTATTTTTAGGGGAAAAAAATCCATGGATAGTGAAGCATGAAAAACACAAACCTTCTCCTCCAGTTCTCTACTTTCTGATAACCATGCCTGAGCAGTAACAAAGTCTATGTGTCTTTTGGCAAGTACCTGGTGAAAGTATCAAATCGAAATCAGGCATCGTTTAGCAGTTGTGAGTGCTTCCAGGAATAGACTAATTAAAGGAGAGACTATACTGCTCAAATTATTCGGAAACTCGGCAAACTCTCGTTCCCGTCGCAGCGAAACATCAGTTACATGTCTTTTTTTTTTGGGGGGGGGGGGGGAGGGAGGGGAGGGTGAGTACAAGGGATGAAACGTTACATTTGTAAGCTGCATATCTTTTGCCCTTCGTACTTTCAAGTCCACTTCAAAGTTGCTCATATCCGCCAGGGTGCCTTTTACTTTAATGGAATCAGGAAAGGTTCCATCATATCTTCCTGATATAACCAGCGGACTTTCAAGCGAAAGGTCGGGCATATAAAATGGAAATAGCTGCAACCCCAAAAAAAAAAAAAAGGAAAAGGAAAAGAACAGAGTAAGTCGCTATATGGCGAAAACAGATGAACTGATACTCGTGATCTTTGAGTAAACTAGAAAGCTGAAGGACTTGTTGCCAGTTATAAGTTCAAGAAATCATTATAAAATTATTCAGGCTATAAACAGTAGAGTTGTGCTTCTGATGAAGTACCTCCAGTGAATCAAGACCTTCTAAACTTTCCACCATTATATTGGAAGCAATGATTGTCGAAGCAGATCTAAATAACCTCTGCATTCGAGAGTCAATTGAATCTAGATAGGACAAAAACAGAACAAGATATTAGTGTAATACCAAATATATCAGATTTAGCGATTACTTTTCCTCCCCAGGGTCTGGATGATATATCAAATTTTAAGAAAACATGAATACTTGAAAATTGAAATGTTTGATACTGCGGGTGACAATTGTAATCGGCAACACAGTCATATTGCAAATACAAGGAACGTATGCGAGGGGGAAACTGATAGGAAGCAATAATTTAAGCCTTGGTGTTAGGGAAAGACGCTAACCTAGATCATGAGCAGCATCAAAGTGACCCCTCCCAATTTGTGCTAGCATTTGCAGAAAGTAGTGATTACAATATAAACCTGAAAATTATTCAGGTCAAAATTGAAAGGTGAAGCCAATTGGACCAAGCAAATTGAAAAAGAAAGACATATAAAGAAGTGACCCATTACTGACAACTTAAACTTATAAATTTGGTCATATATACAACAATAGAAGTTCATGGCAACATAATGCAGATAGTTGAAGTTTCTCAGGGAAGGCATTGAAAGAAATTTCCAACAGCGAAGTATATTGTCAAGCATCAACTACAGGAAATCTGCACAGTTATGATGCTTCAAGTATTGCTATCAGAAGAAATTATCAAGTTCAGCTTATCATAAGATGCAATTCTCAGTGCTACAAAGAGAAGAAGGGTAGAGCCCTTGCCTATGCCAAAAGTACAGATGCGAGGAGCGCAAATTGATTGCCTACTTGTGACATAGCCTTTAAAAAAATTGCAGATCTCTCTTTCATTTTCAACAGCTCCATCAGTAACGAGAAAAATCAGAGGGATTGAATCAGTAGTTTTCTGAAATAGCTTCATTGCCTAAGATAGAAGACATTATTAGATCAGGTGCTACAGCAAAGTGAGTACATTCAGAACTCAACAATCAAAATTGATGCACAAGGTCCAAAGCAGGACTTTCAAAACACTTCATACAATATATACGATATATCAGAGAAATCATGCCAGTAATCCATTTAACTTTCTACACAAATTTCCAATATTGCCATCACATGTTAAAGAGATACCACACATGAAAAGTTGAGCCTTAAGATTTTGTGACAGCTAGAACGCTGTAAAAGATTTATGTATACATGATTGTACTACAAGTCTACAACAAATCCCACAGATTTGCGAATAAATTCAGAAAGGAAAAATAACAGAGAACAAACTAACTGTCATTAATTCTATTAATAAATGGTTTCATGACGTTATATAAATAATGAAAACGCAGAAATAAGCTCAAAATGTTGGCAAAACCTTTAAGCGCTCTTTAGAAGTAAAATACATTCATCAGTGCAGCTGGGTTATAAAAAAAAATGATGTGAAAATATGAGAACATAAAACCATGAAGTGTGACAGACTTGTCTATTCATCATTTTCAAAAATTCAATGAAGAAAAATAAAATACCTGAGTTAGCGGAAGCAATATGTTTGTACCACCTTTGGCAATAGACATAGTACCAATCCATTGGGTAGCATTTAATATTGCCCCTTCTGTTGCAGGTTCCATTGACCGCGAGAACAAGAAGAAGTCCTCATTAAAAACTATAATATTAAATGTATCCTGGGCATTTAGTTGAGAAAGTGATGCCAGCAGTGCATTCTTTGCATTTTCAAGTGGACTTCCTTTCATGCTTGCACTTACATCTATGACAAATACCACATCCCTTCTGAAAATCTATAAGGGCAAATAAATAAGAACGCGTTAAAAAAAAATTAAAAATTGGTTAGAGAGACTTTGCTTGCAAATAAGGCAACTTGACTGAATAGATTGTTTGCTTCCTCCTATGGTTGGCACCCAGCGCAACACTGGCTGCATTTCTATGCTCATTAAGCCTTAAAAGTAATTTGTTTCCCGGATCCATTTTGAAGTTCCACATATCTCTTGGTACTATAAACTTATTTGTAAACGCAGCTATATTATTGCTATAAATTAGAATGGTTCCTCTTGAAGCATTCATACTTGAGAAGACTCAACAAAGAACAGTGCGATCCACTTCATTTGTCCATACATGGATGGGGAAGGAATGTGGAGACGTCTTACTTGCAAGTTGCAACATAACCCTACTGTGCACTGCTAAGACATTTACTCTTCTTAAATCTTGGTAAATGTATTCGAAAAAGCATGAGTACTTCAAATTTAAATAAGGAAAAAAGTGTGAAATAATGAAAACAAACCTTCCTATTTTGGCTATTTCCAGGGTAAAGATGCAAGCAAAATATCTCTCTTTGGTCAAAATCACGAAGAAATGGTGATTGTAAGAGCAGGCCACCAGATATGTCAGCTGAAGAAACCTGTGATATTTGATGCATTACATATATGGCATCCTGGTTTGTTCATAAAAATTCTTATTGCAGTCTGCTGCTGGGTCTTACCGCATATGAAAAACTGAAGTCTGTAGTTGACCATGCAGGCACTTCTGCTTCATATGAGAAACTTAACTTGCCAAATTGGTGTGTTAGTTCCTGGAAAGTAAAAACCCTCTTAGTTCACATCTAACAGAAGCCAAATAGAATTTGAAGGCCTAATATGATGTTTAGTTCGTGAGCAGTTTAATTTTTGAGATACATGGAAGTGTACTGATAAGATAATGGAAAACTCAAGATTCGTGCATGTATCCTAATAAGACCGAAAGGCTTATTGTTTTATACATTTAAATACTCAAACACACACACAGAGACAGGCTTCTGCTTCCCAGAAATTGGGGATACTAGAATGTCCTTTTAGGAAATGCCACCTCAATGTTTCACCTTAATAGGATGGCTGCTGCTCTTGCATAACACTTCAGCCGCAAGACCAGAGTTTACTTTCAAAAAGATTTTCTCTTTCTTCGGACTTTTCTTCTCCACTGGGGTGACGTATGAAGGAAAACTAAAAGGTACACTAACTGAGAGCTGATCATCATGATATAGCAATTTCTGACACCATCGGATTTTTATTGAAATAAGAGAGCCTCCAATGACCTGAAAGATGTTATTTTGTATCAGAAAACGATTAACTGATTAAGTAAATAAATGAGATTAATCTCCGCTGGCTATTTAGTAATAACCTGTGGAATCTTGACGGTGTATATTTGGCTTTTCAAGAAATATCCATCTTTTGTTTTCGCTGCTTTCTCTATATCTCTTTCATCTTTTGGAATGATAATTTCAGTTTGATAACATATTCCACTATCATCAACCTCAAGACCTAGAAGTGAACCCTGTTAGCCACATCATATATATAACTTGAGAATTCACAAAACAAACTTCAACCCTCACAGAAAAGGACAGTGCAGATGCTCATCAGGCAGTTAAACATGAAACAATGATGAGGAAACCATCAACATAAGAATATTAGATGAAACAGAAACACAATTTATAAGGCGCATGATCATAATTAATCACGCAACATGGAATCGCGAGCAGCAAGGAAATGAAATCTGAATGTTATTCGAGTACAGAATCTTGGAGAATAATGAATTTACTTAATGATAGCCAAATTTTAAGTTGTGCCCCGAAAACAAAGTTGATATGACATTTGATCCTTTTCTTGCGGACGCAAATGATTGATAGAAAACAGATTGTTGCTTGTATCCTTGAGAGACAAAACTGCAATTGGACACCATAAAAATAACTTTTGCAATAGTGATAGATTATTAAGAACGCAGGATTAACGTAGCAGGTAAGTCGACAGTTGTATGTTCATTGCGGAGTGGTTGATCAAATTGATGAACTTCAATTAAAGTATTTAGAAGCGGAATAGCTTGTAAGGGGCCGTGATTAGCACAACTGACGATACCAGTCCCATAAAAACATCAATTTAGCGGTCATAATTATTTATTGGAATAACTTCAATAGTATCTATCTCTGTCGCTATTGTCTTCATCAGAGCACTATAATAAACAAGATGTATTACCTGTTCTCCCATTGGTATAGCAATCCGGCAATCACACATTTTACTCGACCTTACACAATGGAGGCGCCACGTTCCGCTAACTGTAACAAAGGCCGTATCCAGGGAACAGTCAATTTCCATGGCGACTCCGTGCATGTGTAGTGGAATCAACGCAGGCGGTTCACACCGGCCGTGCACGTACGGCTGGTAAGTCCGAATGTCCGGATTGTCAACTATCTCTGGTTCTGGCAACATCGCGTAACACATCGGTGCGGTCGGTAGATACCCCTCCATAGTCTTGGATAGCGCCGGCTCCGGTATCGGAGCAGAAAAAGATCCCTTGCCATAGAAAATTCGCTTTGAGAGCCTCAGTCCAAACTCAACGGAGCTTGAAAATTGTTCGGCCATCTTTGAAGTGGAAGTATAACCGCCGGAACTTTTCCGGCAGGTGAGTCGCAGAGAAGAGAGAGTAGAATGAAGTTCCACAAAATGATTAGAGAGACAAAAGTATGAGATTTTCCAGAAAGCTTACAAGAACAGTATGGTCTGTGAGTTCTAAAGTGCCATTAAATAATAGCCATAGCCCATAAGTAAAAAGACGTTGAAAATAAAGGAGGAAGAAGAAGAACAGTTAGCTCGTAGCTACTTGTAAGAACCGCACCGGAGGGATCGATTTTATTATTTTATTTATTTTATTGTGAAAAAATAATTAATGAACTTGGCATTTTATCAATGTTTTCGATAGAAGTAGCCAATAAGAAGAAAACACGTGTCACTCATAGCGGGCGTAACCCTTACCCCAGGGGCGGGCACCTGCAAAGGACAAATATTCATTAAGTGAGGTCTATTCTGATTTTGTTAGGTGCATGACTCATCAAATTTTAATAGGAAATTGATTGACTGATCGTCTGTTTACTTTTGATATATATATTTTTTATTTTTTTAATTAATTCATCAAACATACCTGAATGAGGTGGAAATGATCCAGGCACAGAGATATTATTGGCCTGAATTTTTTTTTAGATTATTAACAAGTTAAATATATGACTGAGATTTGAGTCCCAAAAAAAAAAAAAACTCAAGCCAGTCTCTTTTATGATGCCATATGGTAGTTGATTTTGTCGGGATTAAAAAAAGAAATTAAATTAATTAGTAAGCGTTTATATATAACCAAAAAGGCTGGCAAAAGATATGTATAACTAAAAGGAAATGCCTCGCATGTGTGGCACGTGGAAAGACTTCATTACTGGTGTCGTGATATAATATTATAATATTTATAGGTTTAATGATTAATAGAACTATTTCTGCGCAATAAATATTGATGGGGGTCCCACCAATGCTTCAAGAAGTTGTTTAAATTTAATAGTAGTATAATTAATTAATTGTACTGTCAGCCATTGGAGGATAAGAATAATTATGTGCTAAGCTTTCACTAGAGGTTAGGTTAAGGATTACTTGAACCCTTTTGTTTTAACATGTGCTTCAACTCTTTTGCACGGAAAATATCAGAATTTAAATATTATCAGTTAATAATCAAGCTAGGATTCATGTGAATGTTGAAATGTATGTTTATGTCGACATTTTTTTTTTGGCCGAATAGTGACATTTGGATATTAAGATAAAAAATACAACGAAAGCATCTGACGAGGTAGGTAGGCTACGCATTAATGTATTTTTTTTAAGTGTGTATATCTATATATAAAGTAGTTAAAATAACGATGCACTATACATGTGGGTGCTTCAAAGAGCCGAAAAAGAGTTTGTGTTTTGGAAGGAAGATGACTATTTCATTATTTAATATAAAATTTTGTTTATTTTTATTTTGATTCTAAATAAGTTTTTAATTCGTTTTGTTTCTCATATTTATTATTTTTTAAGATAGTCTTTCTAATAATGATAGTTTTAGCCAATAAACTTCATTAGTAAGAATATTTTAGAAAGACAACACTTATTTATTACAAATAACTAACTTAACTTACTTCCTTGATATATTCAAATTAGTCAATTAGCTCTTATATTTACAATTAGAGGTAGAATTTAATATTCCTCCGGTTCTATAAGACCTAATTGTTAAGTTAATTTTGGTCATAAATATAAAACCTATTTCTCATATTTATCAATTTTTCCTAAATTACCCATATGGATACTCCTTCAACTATAATCAAATAAGAGGAGGAGGAAGAATATTAAAAAAGATGATTATGGTATTTTATAAAAAAAACATGTTATATTTCTTATAATAAACTAACCTACTTAACTTTTTTAATCTGATCAAATTAGTTAAATATGTTTCATATTAAGAACGGGAGTAGCATATATATTTGTTATGATGCAAACACGTGAATCAAAAGACACATTTTGTTTATTAGAGAAACACTAAAATACGTAGCAAGCTCCTTGTCCTTCAAAATAGTTTAGAAATACTACTCTGATCCTAGTTATAAGAGCTAGTTGACTAGTTTAAAAGATTAAAAAAAAATTAATTAATTATTTGTAATAAATAACATAGTAATAGTCAATTTTACTTTATATGCACAACTTATCTCTTAGATCCATAGTTCTTATTACTCTCTATGCTTATACATCTTTGTAGTGACTGAAAGGTATTGTTTTCACCCTTCTGGCCTAACCACAAGGGCTGAAATATTTTGCTTCATAAATTTAAGAAATCGAGGAATTATTAGTATAATAAGCCATGTGCTATTAAAGTTGGCTCTTAAAGGAATTTCCATTAGTGTCTTCGTGAGTCTTTGTTATGGATTCACAGCATTTTAACCTTCTTGATACAACTTTAAAACGTGTTCTCAGTCTCTTGCATTCAGAAAAGATTTATCCTCGTACTGCAACCTAACCCTCTCTGGCAGACAATATTTGGCAAGACATCTTCTCTCTTTTAACCAGTTTCGCTTCCTGCCATGTTAATATTTGTTTCTTACCTTCTTTTCTTAATTATACAAAGCAGTTTATCTACTCTTAATTTTGTTGTAACCTTTAAACATTTCCCTCTTTCATTCATAATTTTGTCATATTCTAAAAGAATTTTTATGCTTATATATATATTCTCACTTTTTAATAACTCTCCTTTGTCCATTTTTTAAAACAAAATCTTCCCTTGGTCTGCTTAAAGGTTTCAGTAGAGTATAAATTATTTCGTATAACAGACAAAGCATATTTTTGCTGAGTTGAAATCACGATAATTTCTAATTTCCATGGAATGAATCTTGTCACGTCACATGAGTTCTTGTACCTTTAGACGGTACCTTAGTAATTCAGAGAGTTGACTTGTAAATGATTTTTCAATTATAATTTATAAAATACATGATAGATATAAAAAAAAAAATTTATCTGATTTATATAAATATATTAATAAATAATTTTAAATGTGATGTCAAGCAGAACCATAATCTTAACTTGACAGCGGGAGGGCCACCTCATGTGATGATAACTAATATGTGAAAGCGCAAATTAAGGAGAGGAATTTAGCATTAGCAGAGCGGATAATACAGTAGCTGCTAAGGATGTTTGGTATGCTTTATGAAATACTCATCTAATCTTATTTATAAGACACTTTCATCATATTTTATATAATAAAAAAAATCTTAAACTATATCAAATCCCCATTAAAATATAAATTTTTTTCAACTTGACCCCTATTTAATATATATACTTTTAACAAAAAAATATCTATACTATAATAAATAAATGACAAAATATTATATTCATGCTAAAATTTGATGAGATGACTTGTATATATGATCAAAACAATTTTTTTTTTATAAATAGAATTAGAAGAGTATTTTATTTAATTTTCCACGTCTTTTTTACTTCAAGGCGAAACGAAATGATAGAGACGTGATCAGGTCCGACCGGGACCATGGTGGTCCTCCTGGTCCCCCTCTCGCTATCGATTGCCCCTTTTTTCTGGATGAATCCTGCGGTACCAGGTATTTACTGAGCTGACAAATGTCTAATGGTGGAAGTTAGCGTTTCCTAGTTTGTGGACTTGTCTTTAATTTTGTGTGGTTCATACTTTATTTATTTTTCCTCCAATTATTTTTTTCTCATAATCATACATTAATTATATTTATTGATCAACGGTTCAAATTCATAATCTTAAGCTGAAGAAAGCCTTAATTGTAAATCATAAATATATCATACTCGTCCCGTCTTTAATATAAGACTTAATTGTTGAGTTGTTTTTTGTTCTGAATATAAGACACATTTCTCATATTTATCAATTTTCTTTAAATTACCCCTATGAATACTCCCTCAACCATAATCAAGTAGAAGAGAAAGATAGAGTATTAAGAAAGATAATTATGTGTTTTAGGAAAAACATATCACATTTTTTATAATTAACTAACTTACTTAACTTCCTTAATCTAATCAACTTAGTTAAATGAGTCTTATATTAAGAACCAGAAGAGTATCTCGTTTATCCATGTCCATATGGAATTATCTCTTTTCTTCTCTTTTTCTTCCTTCAAATTTGAATCCCTCGTTCTTTTGAAAAAAATTGCTGGGAAAAACTCATCATAAAATTTATTTCTCAAATGTATCATAAGCTTAGGTCTTTGGGCGTGCGTAAATTATTTTCAACGAGTACAATTCTTTAGTTGTATAAGATGTATCTTTATTTATGTGCAAATATTTTCTATTTTTAGGTCCTTTTTGACAACGAATGTATTTAAACTATAGATCATTAATGTACTTAAACTTTTCACCATTATCCTTTCAGTGCTGTTTATTCTGAATTCGAAAAATTTTACTTATTTTATTAATCATATGTACATATAATTAATAATTATTTTAGCTGAACACATCTATTATTTTCAAAAATTATAATTTCTGAACTAAAAATAAAAATGTTGTAGTTTGAACATGTTTTTAAATGTATTTTTTTTTCTTTTTCCATTTTGTCAAGCTTTATTACCCCTTCTTAATTTCTTTTATCTGTTCCCCTCCAGATCTTTCTTTTCTTCTTTCAAAAGTTAGATACAGTTAGATTCCCATTCCATCAGGATAATTGCTGCACGTGTCTGGTTACAATTTATTGTATATTGCAAATTCCCACTCTATTTATATAAGATCCTATTTGATTTTTATTTTGGTTCTAAATATAAGACCCCAATTCACTTTATCTCTCATATTTATACATTTTTTTTTCCAAATAGCCTTTCTAATAATAAGAGTTCTAGTCACTACACTTGATTAGTGAAGATATTTTAGGAAAGACAATACCTATTTAGGATAAATAACTAATTCAACTTACTTTCTTAATCTCCTCAAATTACTCAACTGACTCTTATAATTAGGACTGAAGATAGTACTAAAATAGTCAAATATATCATGGTAATTGTCTGATAAACTTAACATAAGCTTTCACAGTTAACCACAACTGCCGGCAAATTAGTTCTCACACACATACATAACACTAAAGAAAATTCAATCAAGAGACAAATAAAAATACAAAATAACATAGTTCCAAATTATTGAAAATTTTAAAAATACATATTCAAGAAGGAAAAAAATAAAATAAAATTTGAGACAGATATGACTAGT